GCGCGGCGCGGTCTTCGCGCGGTCTTCGGGCGCGTGCGCGGCGCGGTAATTGGTGCACATATGCACCCCTTAACTGTGCTGATGATGCTGGTCACTGATAAAGCACACTGACATGATCAGAACAGTTCATGCGTTATCCCAGTAACCCTTTCAGTAAGCTGGTGGTTCAGTGTGCCAGTACTGGAGATGGAAATGCTCAGGCTGAGAAGTTGAGTCTTCCAAAGGCAAAATCAAATTCAAGCAATGGGATCTTTCCTTCCTCTTGTTCCCCAAAATACACTCTTGGGATTCATCCAACCTCTGGCACAAATTGTGAAGATGTGCGGAGGGCCTCAGTGGGGAACAAGAATTGTCCTCTCTCCATTCCTCTTTCAGAAGGAATGTCTGTGACAGGGCTTAACTGGATACCACATCTGAGCTTAACTAGTTGCAGGTAAGGTTTGAACCTCATGCTCTTCATATCAGAGCTACCAAGTTTTGACCACTATGAAATATTAGGTCAAAGGCTTTATCCCAACCTATTAGAAATTGCTTGTTTCTTCAGTTTCTACCAAAACTGTATGTGTCTAGTATGTGGTATTGGATTCCTTTCTGAGTAAGTGGCAAGGAAAAAAATTCCATGCAGATATTATCTAGGGGCATGCTAATTATTTCTGTGTGATAACCAGAACCACTGTTCCTTTTCCATTTTCCTTTCATGATGTGACATTGTCATCTACTATAATGCTGTAAATGAAAGTTAACAGCACACCATCAAGCTGGTAGTGAAATGCTCTAAAAGAGGAGACCCTTGCCAGATTTCTCTGATTATTCTTCATGGTCTCTGTGCATCACACATGTGCGCTCTGCACGCATGCATGGAGCTGTTTTGGGAAGATTCCAAAGCTGACTAATTACTATTTGGCAGAAGGCCAGCCCATAGACATGCCTGGACTGGAGGCAGGGCTCCTGCTGAGGCCTCACTTTTTTGACTGCCATCGTGAGCACATTGGGAAGTTCCTTCTCCACTTACTTCATGAAGTTGTTCCTCTTCAACAACTTCTCAGTCTCCTGTATTAACAGGTTCCTTTTTCTGTATTCTGTATTTCTTGCTAGAAGCAAGAAAGAAAAAAAAACAAGCAAGATCCTCAGGTCTGTCTTCTGGCCACACCTCATCAAACAGAAAAAAATGGCGCTTAAAGCTCTGGTCCTCAATTGTGGCAATAAACTCCCTCCTCAGATGGCCACTTCCTTTGCCTTTTCTGTTTGGGAGAATCCCATGTTGTCGACTCCTGCTACCATTGCCAGGCTTTCACTAAGCAGGTGAGGAAACACTGGGCAGAGCATCTAAAGGCAAAGTTGTGGAGCTGCGCCCTCCATGTGGAGGATGCCCAACTATCCACCTCTGGTGCTCCTATTCCCACTAGTATGGACAAAACCTTAGAACCTCCTCCATCAAAAGTGCCTAAAATGGGGAAGCCAATGCAAACGGATAAAAAGAGTAAGCTTCCAAAATCGCTTGCACTTGCTAAAGAGAAGGAGGGAGATAAGCGTGCCTAAAAGCATGCAGATATTCAGCCTGCTACTGGCCTCCCGTGTATTGAAGAAACGCTGTTGATACATCATCTGAGCCATCTTTCTGCTCTGGCTCCAAAACCAATGCAAGAGCCTCTTTCTCAGCCTCCAAAAAGGGTGAAATCCATGATCTATCCCCTTCAGTCTTATCACGACCAGACCAAACTTCAGTACAGAGATGTATTTCGTGTACCCTCAATTCCTACTGTCTTTCTCCACTATAGAGAGGGATGGGACTCTGTTGACTCCAGGCATGGAGAATCTCATTGAAGTCCAACCAGATCCAACTGTTACTCTTCTCAGCCTGGCCTGACCTCCACAAAGGCCTTTCTTTCTTAGGACAGAATATCTATCTTGACTACAGAGGTCACTTCCCTCATCAATTTATTTATTTATTTATTTATTAAAACATTTTTATGCCGCCCCATTCGCCGAAGCCTCGGGGCGGCTTACAATGCTCATTTGGTGATCCAGCATGTTCTCAGCTTAATGTCTGCATCGATTCCAGTAGTCCCTCTGGCTCAAGTACATATGAGACCTCTGGTTTCTAACATCTTTCAATACTAGAACCTCACTCCACCAGACTGTGCATCCCTCCTCAAATTTGAACCTCCCTCTGTTGGTGGACAGATGAGACCGACACCTCCACTGGGCTCCTCTCCATCAGACCCCCAACTAACCATAACCATGTATGCTTCTCCCCATGGTTGGGGAGTCCATTGTGGCCAGTCTGCCAGGCCAGATGGACCCCTCAAGAGGCTCTTCATCACATCAACTTCTTAGAACTCTTAGCTGTAAGGAAAGCTGTTGCTGCCTTTCAAGCCATCATCCAGTATTGCCATATAAGGATAATAACAAACAATACCACAGTGTTAGCTTATATAAACAAACAAGGTGGAATCAGATCAAACCAACATCTGGCACTGGTGCACCATCCAACATGCCACACTGATTGCTGTTCATGCTGCAGGTGCCAGCAATGTCCTAGCAGACTCTCTAAGCAGAACTTTCACTCAGTGTCACGAATGGGAGCTACATGCTGCTGTGATTCAATCTCTCTCTAGGATCGATGGGATGTCCCCCGAGTAGATCTGCTTGTTACCAGACACAACACTGTCTGTGATCACTTCTGCTTGAAGGTGGGCTTAGGCATCCAGTCACTAGAGATGCCTTTCTTCTATCCTGGAATAGGAATCTATTTTACCTCTTACCTCCATTTCCCCTCATTCCAAGCGTCCTCACAAAGATCTCTCGAGATTGCATAGATGCCGTCCTTAAAACACTGGTTTGCCCATCTACTGGACCTCTCCAGGGGGATCTTCATTCATCTCTCAGCCCATGCAGATCTTCTTTCTCAAGATCGTGGGTCAATTCTCCATTCCAACCTAAACACCCTCAAACTCACCACATGGAGAATTCCGCATCACTAATAGACATTACTTCTGACCTCCAGGAGATTTTAGATGCCTCCCTCAAACCTTCCACTTGTAGATCATACAACTCTAAGTGGACAGCATTGTCCACATTTACACAACAGCATGGTTTCTCTCCAGTTACAGCCTCTCCTGTCCAGGTCATCCTCTTGCTTAACTCCCTATACAAAAGAGATCTCACCTGTAGCTCTGTCTGTGTCTATACAGCTGCTATTTCAGCTATCCATGATCTAATCCAGGGCCGATCAACCTTTTCTCATCCTCAGAAATTCCTCAAGGGCATCTTTAACCTAGCCCCGCTGATCAGACAACCTCCTCCGTCTTGGAGCCTCTCTGTTGTCCTTCATGCTTTCACAAAGCCTCTGTTCAAACTAATGGCCTTGACAGACCTACACCTCCTCTCCTGGAAAACTGCCTTTTTGATAGCCATTACCAAGCCAGTTGTCGTGTGTGCATGCTCAGAAGAGTCCCTTACGCGTGCACAAGCGGAGGAAACTTCCCATGAGAGCCAGAATGTTGATGAAGAGCTATTTCTGGTGTCAGCAGAACAATCTTTACTCTCCAATTTCACAGATGCTGAGAATGAGAATAGGCCAGATAAGGAGGTTCAGGGAGAAGTCAAAACAGGTGGGAGAAGAGGTCAGTTTGGGAGTAGATGGGAGAACTGTCTCACAAGCTGCTGAGATGGAATGTGAGAACCAAGGAGATAAGGGGCAAGGGGGTTTGAGGATGTTCATTCTCACAGGCGCACGCGCAGACTGGGACAGCTAGAATCGAGACTGACTGACTGACGCAGAGAGAGGGGTCACAGTGCTCCGCACTTGGAGAGGCAGCCACGAAGGATTCATAAACTCAAGTGTGGGTTGAACTTAGTTAGAATGAGAGGACAACTTTCTAGCCTGTGTGACTATAATTGCAATACAGTTTAGAATAAAGACATTTGTAGTATCAACTGGAGTGATTGCTTTCGTTGGGAAGGAGCGCCAACCTCATGACACCAGTGAACTCACTGCCCTTCTAACTGACCCTCCTTATATCATCTTTCATAAGGGCAAGTTCATACTCAGCCCTGACCCTACCTATCTACCTAAAGTTGTCTCTTCCTTCCACATGAATGAGACTTGTTCTACTGGCATTCTTGCAATACACATCCAACCCCATAGAGATTGCGCTCCACTCACTAGGTGTCCATATAACATTACCTTTCTACAAATCAAGAACTAAACCCATCAATCTCAAATACTTTTTATTGCTTATGGTGGCCTGCACCAGGGAACACCCATCTCCCTGCAAGATTTTCTAAATGAATAGCGCACATTATATCTGTGGCCTATGAACTCTCTGAACTCCATCTCTCGGGCTCTGTCAGGGCACATTCTACCAGACCTACTTCAGCCTCCACAGCCCTGTATGCTGGAGTGTCTCTTACTGACCTACTTAAAGCAGCGACGTGGTCAAATCCCTCGACCTTTCTTCACCTTTATTGTCTCAGTATTCAAGCTAGAGAAGACCGTGCTTTCAGCAGAGCTATTCTTTCCTCTTTACTTCACCGAGTGACATCAGCCTCCTGCATGAGGTAAGCTTGCCAGTCACCCACTTGTGTGATGCACAGAGACCATGAAGAATAACGGCAGGTTTCCTTTCCTGTAACTGCTGTTCTTTCAGTGGTCATCTGTGCATTCACACATATCCGCCTGCCATCCCCACTGGTGTCTTGTACTTGACTGCTTGATGTCTGAATCATTGACACATCTATGATTCAGATGTTATTTCTGTGGCAGTCTCATACTCTGAACTGAGTTCTCGGCGGGAACCCCACCTCCATGCTAGACATGTCTGTGGGCTGGCTTCCTGCCAAATACTAATTAGTCAGCTTTGGAATCTTCATGAAACAACTCCACACATGCACTCAGAGCCCACATGTGTGAATCCATGGATGACCACTCAAAGAACGACCAGTACAGGTAAGGAAAGCTGCCTTTCGAGTGTCCAGTTTTTTTTTGACAATAGTAGTAGATCTTGTAAAGGCATTGCCTGATGAAAAAGGAAGGTTGTCTCTTTCAGAAGATAAAGTAACAGAAAGAAAGCACTGCTTCTAAAACAAACAAACAAAATGTCATCCACACAGGCACTCAAATGGCTCATGAGCTTTGAACTGTTTGGGGCTGGGTGCAAGTCTTTGCGTTTTGATACTAATTAAGATTAAATATCTCTCACTGCTAAATTTTGTAGATCAAGTTTAAGTACTTCCCTAATGTCGTGTAATTTTCTGGCATTAATCCACTTTATCATTGTCATAAGTATAAATGGCTCATTAAAACCAAGAGGGAATACAATACATTTATGGATTTCTGCTCTCGTGTTAATGGTGTTTTCCTTTCCTCATGAGTAATCTCTTGATGGCTTCTGTCTCCACAGAACAGAGATAACTACATCCGCTCCTGCAGATTGCTCCCAGACGGCCGCACCCTGATTGTTGGTGGGGAAGCCAGCACGTTATCCATTTGGGACCTGGCGGCTCCGACTCCGCGCATCAAAGCGGAGCTGACGTCCTCGGCTCCTGCCTGCTATGCTCTGGCGATCAGCCCTGATTCCAAGGTCTGCTTCTCCTGCTGCAGTGATGGGAACATAGCAGTGTGGGATCTGCACAATCAGACTCTAGTCAGGTAGGTCAGCCAAGCTAGATTTTAAAGCAACGATAGCATTGCTAACACTACTGGCACTTGTCCTTGCAGAGTCATGGCATGGAAAGGCCATCTATTGAAATAGCAATGAGCCCAAAATGTTTGGTAAAGGTCACATAATTGTTTGTTTGATTAAGTTTTGAGTATCTTTGTCTCATGGGTTGTCATTTTAATGATACTGTTTAATAGAAAGGGAAGAGGCATAGAACCTATTGTATGCCTAGAACTTTCCACTTCCTAGTATATCAAGGGGGAGGTGCTTATCTACCAAGCAGAAACCTTGCGAGTTCCCTCATCCCTAAGCTGAGTCCAACATGGTATGTGTAGTCTGGAGATGAATAGCCAAATTTCTCAGTTTTGCAGGAGAAAATATAGGCCCTGAGTACTGGTTTTCAGAAATGTACAGTCCATCTCAGAAAGCTTGCTAGTATATCAGTTTTGTATAGACTTCACAGGGAAATGGAAAGAAAAGACATGTGTTTTGCTGACTGAATAAAAGACCTAGATGATGATAAAGTCTTGTTCACACACAACAATCTGCACTCAACTCATGTTCATGGTTAAATGTGGATTGTTGTTATTGTGTTGTGTGAACCCAGTGGTTTTTGGGTTCAGGAACCCAAAATAACCTGTGGTTTGTTAGTACACCTAGTTTCACACAACACAACAGCTCACTTGTCAGCAACAATCCACAGTTGAGCAACAACTCATACTCAGCCTTGAGTGGGCTGTCCTATTGTGTGAACCAGGTCATTATTTCTAAACAGATTGTGTGACCTGTTATAGTTATATAATATAATTAATTATATAATTATGTTATATAAGTATATTTGATTTTGAGAGACTATCAAAGGGTGCTAGTCATTTGTACATTTCTTTTTCTTTTTTTTTCTTTTTTTTGCATTTCTTTTTTTGCATTATTTCTTTTTTGTCTTATGAGTCCATTGGGATTGGGGGAGAAGTGGGTTTTTAAATGTCTAAATTTAATTTGCGCCTGAGATCTGAGGGCAGGGCAGACAGTAAACCTAATTAAATACAGATAAGAGTTTGAGCAGCCCTGAGCTGGGAATTCTTAGAGAGGTATTGGTTTGCAGCTATCTCCAGTGGAAGAATGAAACTAATAGCTTGTGCAGAATCTGGATTGTAATTGTACATGAAAACATGGGATGCCATCAGTTAATAACCCAGTTCAGGATGTTCTGCATTAAAGCCACTTTAGGAAGCTTGCTGTTGTTTCAAAAGGTGCTTAATTTCGGTGCATCACAGGGCTAAGCCTGTGGTGCCCTCTATATATAGGTAGGCAAAAACTTCTATGTGTATCGGTCTCATTGGGGAAAAAACAGATTAATGTAAGTAATTTCTCTTATTAAGTAACACTTAAAATGACTGTTAACTAACTAAAAACTCTTAGAGAGTTTTGAGACATAGGTCTACAGAACATTATCTAAAACAAATAGTGTATTATGCTAGTCTGATAGTTAAATAAAACAAAGAACTTTAGAGCTTTATCTTATTAATAGCAACTAATTGAAATGTTTGTTTTGTTAAAGACATGGGTCTTTATCACATATGTAAGAAGAAATTTTCATTGTAATTCAAATGCTTGCTTCCAGGATTTTGCAAACTAATTGATTTTTTAAGAAAAAAGCACTACATTGCTGCTTCAGCAAATTTTGATTTCAGGACATTTTCCGCTCTTAAAAATTAGCATTGAAGCGCTTAAAATTACTGTCTCAACCCAATTTTGTTTTGAAAGCTATGGCATTCTTCCCTTATTTTTATCCCAATTTAACATTTCCAGGCAATTCCAGGGCCACACAGATGGAGCCAGCTGTATTGACATTTCTAACGATGGCACCAAGCTCTGGACGGGAGGCCTGGACAATACAGTGAGGTCCTGGGACCTGAGGGAAGGGAGACAACTGCAGCAACATGACTTCACATCACAGGTGCAGATGAAGCCACCACCGTTGGCTTTAATAAAAATACTGTTGGCTGGTTTCTAAAGGCAGGCACAGCAACCACTGAAGAAACGTTTCTTTGGGTTTCTGCATGATTTAATGAGAGCATTTCCTTGCATCATAAAAGTCTTCCTCTTTCCTGCCCTCCAAAGGAACAGCAGACCCTTACTAGCATAATACAGTGGCCACAGTGAAGGGGATTCTGTAGTTGATTAGATGCCCTTCTTGAAGAACTAATTCCAAGGATAATTTAATTGAAGATAGCATTTCAGCCTACCGCAGAAATAGTGGCTTGTTCCTCTTTAGTGTTGTATGTCACATGATACCTTTTAATTTGACCTAGTATTCTTTCGTCTTTTGTCCTCTCCTCCTCCTGCTCATCCTCCCGCTTCTTCAAAATCTGCATTCGACCAAAGTGTGCTTCATTTCATCTGAATAGCAGAAACTGTATAACTAAGACAGATGCTGGGAAAACATGCAATACCTTCAATTAACTATCTCCCTATGTGGTGTTTTAATTCCAGATCTTCTCACTGGGCTATTGCCCAACTGGAGAATGGTTGGCAGTAGGAATGGAAAACAGTAATGTTGAAGTACTACATGTCACAAAACCAGACAAATATCAACTGCATCTTCATGAGAGTTGTGTGCTATCCCTGAAATTTGCTCATTGTGGTAAGCAATTTAGAATAGGCTAGCATAGTTTTCTACTTGCCAAGCATATTTCCAATAAAAACTAGAAATGGAGAAACTAATATTGTGCAATTTACATGTTTGAATTTAGGTAATCATATTTAGGTAAATATCGTAGTGTAGATTGCTGTTTTGTTCAGAGATGGTTGTACTGGGAGGGATGGGGGAAGAGATGAGAAATAATAAGAACTGATATACTCTGATTAATCTGTTATCTAGCTGCTTCTAATGTGTGTGTGTGTGTGTGTGTAAAATTGTGATTTCAGGGAAATGGTTTGTAAGCACTGGAAAAGATAATCTTCTGAATGCATGGAGAACACCTTATGGAGCCAGTATATTCCAGGTAAAAATATCCTCCCCTTTCAATTCACACTCCAAATCAGTTGCATCCATCCATCCATCCATCCATCAGTTTAACAAGCATAGAACAGCTGCAGTGCAGAAAGGTGGCATGAATATTGCTGCAATTGTATTGAATATTCCCACTCCACTACAAGTTTTAACTTAAAAGTAATACAATAAATTATTGTATTTATCTTTTTTAAATTATGCACTACTCCTGAATTTTGTTCCAACTCTCATTATGTGGCTCATATGAAATTGAGTTTCAAATACCTAACATACTTTTTTGTAACTGGTATCAATAAGATATTTTCACTTGCTAGGGAGTTAAAAAAAATAGTGGTTAAGTGTTGCATGTGCAACTGGAAAGTAGAAGTAGCCAATCTGTGTTTCTTAGAATATGTGCCCTTATGGTGCATTCATCTGGAAATATAGATGTGTTAATAGCAAATACTTTTTCACAGATATATTTAAAAATGTTATGACAATCAATAAAAATATATGTGCAGTTTGAAAATGTAATATATTAAATAGTCCCAATATGTACTATTATTTTATTTTTATTTTTAGATTTAATGTTCAAATTTCTCTTGATATGTAGAGATCAGATGTGGTAATATGTATATGAAGCCAGTCTGGTGTAGTAGACTGAGTGTTGGAGCTAAATGATTCTAGGGCTACTTATTACAATTCAGCCTACTCATTTTAATAGAACTGTATATATTTTGCTTCTACTTTTTTCTTCTTCCTTTGCCAACTGAGAATACCTCACACAGGTGTCATTGTTCTTTAATTAAAATCAATCCCAGTGAACATCCCAAAGACCATAGGAATTCATGGATTCCCACTTTTAAAACTGTAAACACTGTGGCAACTTGGGGAAGTGGACTAGACAGTCCAATCCCTCAGTCCTTACCTCTCTCACAGCCAGGACAGAGAGATCAGCAGCACCTGCTTTCTTGAGCTACACCTGCTTGGAGGAGCTCATAGTGATCAAAACTGGAGCATTCAGATGAGTGGAGAAGAGAAGGGAGGCCAAAGCACACAATTCCATGGCTGTGCCGGCCCCTGACTCCTACCAACACCCCTCTTCTAGATGGTTATAAAGGTCCACTAAAAGGGGAAAAGGAGAATAGAGCAGTTAAAAACACCTTTGCTGCTCCTCCAGCCCTGCCAGCAACAGCCTGCCAGGGCATAGGGTTCCTGGAAGATTCCAAGATCAGTGTCTTCCGTCTAATGGAAGTCAACCCTATATGGTTGAACCCTGAGCCATCTGTTAGCACAGCTGCTTGGGCACTGTTGGACAGGTGTAGCTAAAATAGTTCTTAATAAAAACAGCTACCAGAAAAAGTTTAGGGAAGCAGTTTTGTTGCTGCAGACCCTATTCTCTTTTCTTAAATTCTTCCACTAGTAAGTTACTGCTTTATATACATTCTGAAACATGCACATGTTGTATTTTGGTTTTACTCAGTTTACAGTTAAGTTGGATGAATGTCATTTGTTGCAAGGTATATGATTGGAGTTCTTGAGGAGTTATGGATGACCTGTGCTTTGCCTAAGAAAGTGTCCATTTACCCTGACAATCGTAATAGCTGACTAAATTTGCTCCAAGCAGTGTTCCAATATATATCCTTTGAGGGCCCTTATGCAATATTTTAAAACTTCACTGGCTTCTGAAACCTTCTGCTTATTAAGTTGAATCTATTCCCTACTCTGACGTTAAAATCACTAGCCAAGACTAATAATGTTGCCAAGACTTTCTCTTGTGTCCTATCCATAAAAGCTACTAAAGCTAGCCAAATGGAATCTTTGTAAATTGATGAACTTTCTCTGGGGAAAGAGATTGATATACCCATACTTTCTCATGATAATATTTTTAGGAATGTGGTCTCCAATGCAAAATGATGATGATGATGATGATCTGGAGAAAGCCACCACTTTTACTCTGAACAAGTAAAAAGAAGTAGAGCCACGTGTAAACCAATTATGCTTCAGTTTGGATCCCTTAAAGGGGGTCTCCTTCAGTTCTACTTTGTGCCTCTATGCAGTCTTCCAGAACCAGCTGTGGAATCTTCCAAAGCTTGCTCTCTTTGGGAAGATTTTTTTTTTAACCCTGACACTGAGATATGGAGGTTCCTCCCACCTAGTTTGCAGCTTCAAAGTCCTCTTTAATACTACTGTCACAAGCATTTCTTATATCCCTGATACATTTATCTATTCCATTTTAAGCATTGAACACCTTCCTTTGCTACAATGCCTATTTTCCAAAACCAGGCAGTGAAATAACAATTGAATGACAAAATCACCAGGCCCTGATTGCCGTCACCGTGACTCTTGAATAATACGTCACACTCAATTCTAATCCATACAAGAAGATATTGGATTTCTGAGCAGAAATAGTGTACCTCAGACTCCACTTAAGCAAGCAAACCATTCACTTAGCATCATACATCGCCTACTTTTAGTTTAATTGTAGACAGTCGGTTATCATATGATGATAACGTATTTGGTCACTTTCACTTTGCATTATTAACCAGGAATTCATTAGAGGTTGCAAGGAATAAAAACCATCTGTGTAACAAGGAGGTTGTTGTTTGTTTTTTTAATCTAAGGAAGAGTCCATGTAATCAATAACATGTTCATAATTTGAAGTCTGCAGAAATGGCTGCAATTAACTTAGAGACTGCACAGACAGGGGACAATGTTGGGTAGAAAGCAAATGTAAATGACTAAACCAGGTATGGGCAGCCCATGGAACGCATGTGCCCCCTGGTCTTTTTTTGCCAGTGGGGATGTGGGGGGAGGGGAACTAGTGGTTTGCCACTGAATGTTGGTGGCAGCAGGCAAAAAAGGACTATTTTAAAGGAAAACCAGTGTTTTTTTCCTCTCAAAATTTAGCTTCCCCTTTCTTGAATTGCTGGTGGGTGACGGCAGGGCAAGTGGGCCTTCTGCTGGGTTCTGTGGAGCAATGTAAAATTACAGGATAGTTTAGCGTCCTCCAACCCCTGAAGGATGCTGGACATCCTGCAATTCAGTATTGTTAAAAGGAAGATTTTATTATTGTATCTCATTAGGCAAAGAATGGATAACTCTCTCTCTCTATTTCTCCCTTCCTTTTTTATTCTTTTAGTCCAAAGAGTCGTCTTCTGTGCTTAGCTGTGATATCTCTGTGGATGATAAATACATTGTCACTGGCTCTGGGGACAAGAAGGCTACAGTCTATGAAGTTATTTATTAGAGACAAATCTGAATGGAAACCGTACTCATCCTTGTAGCACTTTGCTGTATATTACTTTTATTTTTCTCCTTCCCAAACTGAGGACTGAAAATGTTCATCACGATTATGGAATTTCCCCACTAAACTTGCTATTTAATAGCAAGCATGTGTTAAGAACTTATAATACCAAATCTCCCGCTATCTACTTGGAAGAAGATGGAATAAGCATACTTAACAGGGAACTGATTCTTTTAATTATGTATCATAGCTGTAATGTATTTATTTTGTTTAAAGAAATCTTTCTAACAAGGAACTGACTAAATAAAGTAGTCTGCTTCTGTCCTGGATTTGAAGGTGCGTTGCATTCTTGATACTTACTATTGCAGGGAGGGATATGGGGAAGAAAGGGGGAAATTACAATACATTGTTAAATGTTTTCTTCTGCACAAATTGCGATCTCAGATGGGTGCTTTGTTAAGTCCTGCTCTTTAACAAATAATGCATAACCTATTGTAAGAGGCAGTGACCTGGTTCTGATGAACTTCTAGGAATACAGAAGCTGAATGGATAGAGGAGCAGGGTCTCTCCTGTCTCTCTCACCAGGCTCAGCTGTCCAAATCTGACCTTGCCTGACAGCCCAGGGGTGGCATAATATTTCAGTAGTCTACACATATATTGCATAATAATAGTCCTGGATCACATTTCCCTGCATTTCACATTAGTCCAAGGAGCATGGCCAGTGTGCAGGAGAAATAGGATCTAAAGGCCAAAGTATCCCCTCACTTTGAGGAAGGCTTCCTTAAATTATAGTTACCACAAACCACATTTCTTGGTTTCAGATGAAACTATAAATGTGGTTAGTCTGAATTGAAAATATTTCATTATAGCTGTAAATGTAAAAAGGCAGGAAGAGCACACAAGCCCAAGCTTTCACATAGCACAGAATGGTAGTTTAGTATTATATCTAAACAGTCGAGTAAGGATAACTATTGTGCAAGTTGGTCCAGCTGACAGTCTAATGTATATACCATCTTCTTCTGCAAAATATTTTGCCTGTGTGTGGACATAGCCAGCTCAGTGGCAACTCAGAGAGCCACAATGAACAGGGGGTGTGGGCACAGTTCCACTCCCCATATTGCAGCCTCCACCCGCCCACACGCCTCTCTGAATTGAGCTACCATGTTACTTTTTTGAGCTTAGATTGACCATCACTTAGGTTGTCCTGGGTGTCTTAAAAACCCAACCAAATGAAGATGCCAGTTGGAAATTCGAAGGAAAATAATGGAAATGTTAATCATTTATGCACAGTTATGATCTCAGACTGGTGTTTCATTAAGTGCTGCTGTTTTACAAATAATGAAATTGTTGTTAAGTGACAATGACCCATTTTCAATTGATACTACACATAGTGAGAAACTATGATTTTGCCTGCTCTGCCTGTCAGGCATTGTATTTGGGGATGAAGTCAGTAACGCTGTATTTTGAGTGATAAGTTTAGTTGACCTTTGAAGAGATTGTCAAAATACATGCCAAAAAATAAAATTGCTCTTAACACCCATTTGTCAGTGTATTGTAAACAGTGTTGTAAATGATGTTTAAGTACAGTGCATTGCTCAGATTTTTAATATCACTTCTGTGTTGTATTTTTCAGAAAGAAATACAGTAACACGTCTCAAAGAATCACCTTCATCCCTTCTGGACACTTTTGCCACATTTCTTTGAAAAGGCAGATATGCGTCTTTGGGCGATTTTTCAGTTACAAAGATTACAGAAAAATATTTGATACATTCATTGGAAATGGCACTGAGAAGGGAATGGATTCCTACAAGTGTACAAACTATAAAAGCGAGGACCTCAGAGGTAGGATTTAGAAGAGCACTCATTCTGAAGTGCGGAACAGAATGGATTTTCACTTGGGAGAAGGACTTGCTTTATTTACTGCCAGTTCTGTCCAAGTCTTAGTTGAACGTCCCTGCAATGGACGCAGGCTGAGCCATTGTGCCAGAAACATTGTGTTATCTTTTTATGTTGTTGTTGTTGCTGTTAAACTATGACCTGTGACATTTTTTTTGAATGCTTTAAAAAAAAAAATCTTTAATTCTGTGGATCTGCTGATGTACAGTGCCTTTGCTGCTATGGATCAAAATCAAAAGAACTGTGTAGATAAACCTTTATTGTGTAAGTAGAAAAGTGCTTAATTTCATACTAGAAATTGGTTAATGCTGCAAGTTGAAATGGACTGTTCATTGAAGTTCCAAATGTGGTAGCAAAAAAAAAATTGTGTTAAGTGCTCAGTGTTTGATGTCATTAACAGTTTCGTAATACTCTACAGTGTAGAAAGATTTTGATACTAAACTGTGTCATTGTACATAGTTCTAATGCATTGTATTGACCACAAGTACTTCTATAATGGTAGATTATTGTTTGTGCATTCAAACTTTTAAGCATTAAACATAAGTAACTTGTAAGATGTGGCTTCCCTAACTTTCCCCTTTTTCTGCATTACAAAATGCAACTAACTGATGGAAGTAATAGAAGTAAAAGCATTTTCAAATTACACCATGAATAATGTGTATGTTAAAAAGGCACTTCCCATCCATACTTGTACATTAACATAAAATTTGTATGGCGATATAAAGCACAGTATCTGCCAGCTCCTTAGACATTGGTGCTAAGTAAGATTCCAGTTGCAGCGCTTGGCTCCTGTTTTGTGTCCTTCTTTCCAATAAGTTATCTGCATTAGACACTTAGTATTTAACTGTTATTCCCTCTTCCCCCAGGGAAGTCTGGGAAAAGTAGTTTTGGAAAGGAGAACTAGGAGTATGTGAGAGAATTCTGTGATTCCAGAATTATGCTGTAGCATTTCAGGAAAGCACGACAGTTATTGGCAGTATAATATTGACAGTTTTGAGATATAGGTACACACTTAAGCTCCAACCTGCTTTGTATTTCACGTCAGCTCACTGTGGTTGCAACTTACTGTGGTTTGCTGGGCTATGCAGTCCCAGGTTGTCTTGAAGGTTGGACAACCCTGAAATAACCCATGGCTTGTAACCATCAAATAAACCCTTCACCTGGGTTTGCACAAATGGCAGGCCAGCTGCCTGTAGGCACCACACAAAAATGGGAAGAATGCAGCCACCTCCATAGATAAATAAATGCATTGTGATATGCATCGCTTTCTCCCTCTTGTGATGTTTATGAATAAGACTATGAAGCAAGTCGTATTGCAGGAAGTGTTTACTTTGGGTATCTGAAAGAAAAGCAATTGCACTTTCAAGGATACCGGGCATAGGTGCATCTTTCATTACATGCTTGGTTCCATAGTGCCAGTTTGAAAACCAGCTCACATGATTCATCTTCCTCGACTAGACATGGGAATGATGCTTCTTAGGTATAAGTGTATTAAAAACGTGTTCTCTGCAATATCACAGAAATAACCACTCAGTCATTTCTGGTTTATCCATCAATCAAGATCTGAGTTTGCCCTCCTGACATCCAAAAAAGTCCTCTGCTCATCCCCAGTGATGTGCAGCTATTCAGTAGGATATAGTCCTGATTTTCCTTGGCTTTATAGCATTCGGCTTTCCACACATGTGGTGTGCCACCTTTTAAAAAAATGGGCTGACAGTCTTTATCAAAACATACTTGATGCAAAGTAATTGCCAGAGTGCTCTAATTCACCATGCAACTCTTCAGTGCATTTTATGGGTGTGAAAACACACGTGCAACTGTAGTGTGACCGTGTTAGCATACTCTTACAGCATCTGTGTACTTTCACACTTGAATCTAAACTTGTAATCAGAACAGAGGAGCAGCAGCCCACAGCACACATCACGGCTGTGCTAAGCAGGCCTCAGCGAGGCCCATCTTGCTCTACTGATGCTTTTGGCCCATGATCGCTTTGACCATCCTTCAGATTGCTTTGTTGGAAACATTCCTGCTGCTCGCTTGGAAGCACCCTTGACATTGCTTGTTTGTTTGGATGTCAGATTTGGTAATTGCTTAGTTCTTCATCTGTGTCTTTGCTTGAAGTGCACTTTCTTGTATACAGATATTTAGGATGCTTTGAAAAACAGGATGCAGTCAAAAGTAGGATTCCATTAATGCAAGAAACTTGCAGGAACTGATTATCTTTGGTATGGATCATACATTCTGTATTAAGTCTTCAGTCTTCATAACTTGTCAGGAGGCACCTACCATCAGAGTCATCACTTTGGGGTTTATGGATTCTTAGTTGTGTGCAGTAAGATTACAGGGAGTCGATGCTTTATTGCTGGTTATGTAATATGGTTTGGGGCTGTAAGCAGACCATATTGAAATGAAGCAATGGGGACAGAGTAGTGACTATTCTTATAAAGCCCGCATTTTCCACAGTGTGGCCCATTCACGTTCACTGGGAGAGATGAAGCTTGAAGAAATGTGCTGTAGAAGATCATCTTTGACAAGCTCTTAAATAATGCACCTGCTGCATCTGCTTTTGAACCAAGAGTTACTGAACATAACCCTCGAGACTTCATGTTTCTTCCGGTATTTGGAGTATAGCATCTCTACCTCACAGCGCTTTTTTTAACGTCAAAACCAATAAATGTTTTTACTTTTACCAAATGATTTTCTGTCCTGGTTACAAGGAAACAGTATTATAGTGTCTTTTTTATTATTAAAAAAGGTGTAGTCTGACATTTACAACATGTCCATAAAACTGCTGTTGACTGCAGTGAAGCATGTCTGTCAGTCACTGGGCTTCATGTGGATACAGGGGGAAATACTGGTTATATTTTTCCTTTCTTATAAAACTATGATGCTTAGAAGCCAATAGAGCTTTCTCACTAGTCAAGCCAAGAGCTTTTGAGCCTCTTAGGACACAATCCTATTGAGATGATCATAAGCC